AGACAAAAAGAAGAATATTATGTAGTAAGACAAAAATCTATTACCATTTTTAATTATGTTTCCATTGTCATTTCCTTTAATCCATGGGGTGTTTTTGTAATAACATGGGGAAAAAACAATGGAAACAGAATTAAAAATGGAAATAGAAAAATTTAAAGAAAAATTAACTGAAGAAAAAGAAACTCCAGATATAAGAGTTGATAATGTTGATATAGATGAAAATTGTTCAGAACAAGGCTCAGATATAAGTCAAACATATACAGAAATATTAGAGAAAATAGGAGATAGTAACTTTATAGAAACCGAAGCCGGTAATCCTATAGAAATAAATACGGAAGATATTAAAGATACAAAACCAAGTACAGCAGGTACATCAGAAGTAAAAAATCCAAAAGAATTAAGACCTAATTATTATACAGTCAGTTATGAAGAATCTGATAGATATGATAGTCTATGGAATAAAAGATTAAACAAATAATGGACGACATCCACAACATCACGAAATAATAGTTTCTTAGATTTAGATTGTGTAACAGATATAAACAAAACAATACAATTATGGGTAGGATATATCTCAAAACAACTAATAGATAACAAAATTGGAATGACAGATGTACCAGGATATATAGAAAGGACACTATTAGGAACAGTAAAATTATGGTTACAAAATTTAGCAGAAGAAAGTATAAAAACATTAAGAAATAATAAGAAAATAGATGGAGAAATTGCAACTACACCAATTGATATATTAAATAAATATGAAATAGCCATAAGAAATGAATTCAGTAGCACCACTACAGAAGTAGAAGAACAAAATAAGGAAAAACAATTACATAGAAATTTAATGTTAAAATTAGCTATATGTAATATGTGTTATATAGATGAATATACATGCGTATTTAGAGAATACTACTACAAAGGAACTTATAGTACTGAAGAATCAAAAGAAAGAAGAAAATTGTGTTTTACAAAATTACCAGAACCATTTAGTTCAAAAATATAAAAGATTGGAATGAAGCAGGATTACAAGATACACTTGGAGCAAGAATGAGATATTTACAAAAATGGTATACGGAAATTTCTGAAAAATATAGAGAAGACAGAAAAATGGAAAAAACAATAATCAGAAACTTAGCATGTTGTAAAGATAAAATAGCACCCCAATTCGGTTGTAATGATACTTATTATAAAAAGAAATATAGAAAACCAAGAAAATATAAAAAATATAAATCTCAGTATAAGTATAAAAAACCTCGCAGAAGATATTATATAAAAAATACTAAA